TTTGAAAAATATCTTACTTTTATAACGTACTTTTATCAAATCGGCAAATTTAGTTTGTTTTGTAAAATGTTAAATATATGTCATGTCCTTGGGAAATAAAAATCTATGAAAACACTGACTTTAACATTTCTCTTAATATGCTTGTGCAGGAAATCAATTGCAATGCCCTATTAAATATGTAACAGTACATTGACTTACTTGTCTTTCTATTGTTTTCTCTTCCAACAATTTTGATGCTTCTGTTTTTGTTTTTCTGCGAGCACCTTGGCCTTTTATTCATACAGTACATGTAATCAAAAGGTCGTGTGTTCGAATCACGGCCGCGACTGACCTAAGTCGATAAAAATAGGTAGGAAATGTTCCTTTGCCAAGCGCTCGGCACTCTGAAGTGAAAGTTGCGGGTCCTTCGGATGAGACCTTAAATACCGAGGCCCCTTGTCGCGGCTGGCGTTGGACGATAAAGATCCCTCACTGCTCAATGGCCCTGAGTGCCGAATAAAGGTCTAAATTTGAAGCCCTTCACCGGTATATGATATGGTGACGTCTCTATATGAGTGAAAAATTCTCGAATGGGACGTAAAACAATATATATATATATATATATAATCATAAACTAATAATCATATAAAGAGAAATGAAATAGAAATTGAAATATTAGAACAACAATGGAGACTTAGTTTAAAGCAAGTTTTTAAAATATTTTACTCATGATTTTATACATGACAGCATTAACAAATTATTTTACCGAACTAATAAAAAATACAAGAGGCCCAAGGGCCTTGAATCGCTCTTCTGATAAACTGTACAACCTATCACTTCTATTTGAAGCCTCTAAGTATCCTGTATATTTAGATAAAGCCTTGAAATTCCAAAGGTAGCTAGGCCATCATGACTTACATTTTAGATGAAACACTCTGAGAACCGAAGATGATTCTCAGCCAATTTATACCTGAGAGTAGGTCATGGTGACCTACTCATCACTTGTCATTCTCTGAGGACCCAAGATGCATCAACTAAGTTTGATCATTCTAAGCCAATTAATACCTAAAATATTTTTAAAACTATAACCATAAAATTTCAAAAGTATGTCACAGTGACCTCTTCAGTCGACTAACTCTGCGGACCAAAGATGCATCAACTGACAAAGTTTGATGATTCTAAGCCAATTAGTATCCAAAATATTTAATTATAGTCATATAAATTGAAAAGTAGGTCACAGTGACCTACTTTTCAGGCGACCTACTCCGAAGACCCAAGATGCATCAACTGACAAAGTTTGATGATTCTAAGCTAATTAGTACCCGAAATATTTAATTATAGTCATATAAATTGAAAAGTACGTCACGGTGACCTACTTTTCAATCGACCTACTCAGAGGACCCAAGATGCATCAATTGACAAAGTTTTATGATTCTAAGCCAATTAGTACCCGAAATATTTAATTATAGTCATATACATTGAAAAGTAGGTCACGGTGACCTATTTTTCAGACTACCTACTCCGAGGACCCAAGATGCATCAACTGACAAAGTTTGATGATTCTAAGGCAATTAGCACCCGAAAATACTTAATAAAAGCCATAAATTTTCAAAAGTAGGTCACGGTGTTCTACTTTTCAGTCAACCTACTCAGAAGACCCAAGATGCTTCAACTGACAAAGTTTAATGATTCTAAGCCAATTAGTACCCGAAATATTCAATTATAGTCATAAATTGAAAAGTGGGTCACGGTGACCTACTTTTCAGTTGACGTTTTCCGAAGACCCAAGATGCATCAACTTACAAAGTTTTATGATTATAGGCCTTAAAAGGTCCAAAATATGCCTCTAAAACCCTTTGAAATCGAATGCCTGCAAAGTTCAAAAAGTAGGTCACTGTGACCAACTTTTTAATAAATATGTTTTATGGCCCCAAGATGCATCACCTTATAAGATTAAATGATTCTAAACCTCAAAGTATTCGAATTAATGACCTTAATTGTTTTGAAAAAGATTAGCCATAAAATTCAAAAAGTAGGTCAAGGTGACCTTCTTTTTAGTCGACGTACTCCGAGGACCCAAGATACATCAACTGACAAAGTTTGATAATCATAGGCCTTAAATTGTTCAAAATATGCCTCGAAATCATTTTGAAAAAGAATGGCCACAAAATTTAAAAAGGTCACCATGACCTACTTTTGAGTCAACATGAAATGAGGTCCTTAGATACATCAACTGACAAGATTTGATGATCCTAGTCCTTATAGTAAGCAAAATATCAACATTTTAATAAAATGTAATTTTTAAGTGAGACCACTCCCTTTGCCCCAGGGTAAATCCCCGTGCATATTTAAATCTACAACATATCCTCAATCTTTTGTGTAAGTTTGGTGATAATCTGCCCCAGTGGTTCTTGAGAAGATTTTTTAGCAACCAGTACTTTTGGTTTTATTTATCTAATTATCTCCCCTGTTTAAGGGTCACAACCCTAGTTTTAGTATAAACAGGAGCCCTTGGCCCAAGGATACACTGTGACAAATTTGACAATAATTGGCCAAGGGGTTCTTGAGTTATGGCCTATATTCTAAAAAGTTTACGCACACCACACAAATGGCCATAGCATTAGCTCTTTGAGCCTTTGGCTCAGAAGAGCTAAAAATCTCATTTCCCCATGTGTACTTTCTTAAACAACCACGAATAGATCGGCCGCTGCTGCGGCCGATAATAACGTGTTATTATCAACAAGCATTCTGAGAGTATTGCATTAGCAATACTAGATCCCTACCGTGAAGTGTAATCTGGTTCCCGTTAAAAATTGAAAATGCCATAATTCCGTCAAAAATCAATGAAGCGAAACGAAATACAAAGTTGATCTATAAGTAATCAAGGTAAAGTCACATACCAAAAATCAGCTCAATATCTGCAAGGGTTAAGAAGAAAATTGCAGAAAACTCTTATAAATTGAAAAGGCCGTAATTCCGTCAAAAATCAATAAAGTGGTACGAAATGCAAACTTGATCTGTAACTCATCAAGATTCACTCAAATACCAAAAATCAGCTCAATATCTGCAAGCGTTTATGAAAAAAGTGCAGAAAACCAAGTGGGACACACTGACAGACAGACGCAGAGGAAACCTATAGTCTCCTTCGGTTTCAACGGTAGGGGACTTATAAACAGGTTGCAAAAGGACTCATTATCTACCCTCTTCAACCATGCTCAGATCTGTAATATATTTCTTAACTGGTACATGTAATTTTTAAAAACATAATTCTGTACACTGTAAAAATTCCTTAGTTACATATATAAAACTTATCAGTTTTTTTAAAGTTTTTTTTTTTTGTTGTTGTTGAGAAAGAGGATTTTATAACGCTAACCCAGGAAAGTATCTTTCAAAGTTACAGATATTGAAAGGCAAGAAAATAATCCTTAGTTTTCTTCCTTTCTTGTAATTCATGTTTTGTGTATTTATTTTCCAATAAAGATTTAAGTTCAAATATATATATATATATATATATATATATATATATATATATATATATATATATATATATATGAGAAAGAGAGACAAAATGTTTTCAAACTTTAGATCTGTTTCTCTTTCACAAACTGATGATAAAACAAAACAGGATTCAATATACGTTTGCGACGCCAATTTTAATATAATAGGCAAGAAATATTCTGAAAAAAAATTCTTCCATTTCTATATATGGCATGTATAGCTTATAAAATGAATAAAAAATCTTCGATGTACAAATATCTTTATGGAAATGAGAATGAAATCCGAAGTTTTCTTGATGGAAATAAACTTAATATAATGCTGCCTTCCTTTTTTCGGCATTTCAAAACAACAGTATAAAATGGTTATCAAATATGAAAAACGGCATGTGTTTTCTGTGCAATCATTCTTACATGTAACAAAGCATGCAAAATTTTAACAACTATAATAATCATAATTAGTTGGCCATTTGAACACTCTCTTGCAGAATCATGCACAAATGAATCCTATTTAAAGCACTAGATGTAATTGTAGACTAGATTAAATAGAAAAAAATTAAAATACATACAATGATCGACATTCTTTGAACAACCAACATAACTGTTTTCCACAACCAACATATATGATTAGGTTAGAATTAATTAAAAAATGGAGGGAATTAAGGTATCATTAATCACTTCCGGTCTTACATTAAAACCTGGTTATTAGTACTTGGCAAGTTGCTTTTTACAAAACTTTTAAATTAAAAAAAGTCTTCCCTAAAATCAAACTGTATTTTCTCAGAAATTTGTTATATATTGTGATTATATGCTTTTAATGAGCAACAAAATTCAACATTGCATAATTGGTATAATTTCTTTCTTTCTCTGGAAACTTTTGAATACATTATTGCACATAACACACTTCAATGTTCCTTACTTAACAAATACGCAACATATCTCACTTTCAAGGAAAATACTTCAACTTTATATTTTTTTAACATTAAATAGCTTTTTTGCATACATATCTTAAACGTTAACTATAATAAAATATGAAAACATAATAAATAAAAAGCATCTAAATTTTACATCCCTAGTGGATAAAAATGCAACATTCCAAATGGTTCCTTTAAATATTAATAAATAATCCATACAAAAAATCACCAGAAAACATCAAAGCAAAAAACAAAAATACTGTATACTGGTCAGCGTTTTGACTCTTTTTTATTTTCATCCCGGTAGTCATTTACATGTTATGGGTTACTTCATTAAAAATGAATTCAAATGAGTGAGAATTGATGAATAGATGTTTGTTTATATTCAACTGGATAAAAACTGTTACTATATGTGTGAATGAAAAAAAAAACCAAGAAGAAAAATATATCTCAGAATACAGTATTATGCTATGTCTCCATCTTTGTTGTTGTTTCTTCTTATTGGATATACAAAAGGCTTGGAATGTTTGCAGTAATGAAGTGAGAATGCAAAAAAAGCAGGCTTTAATTTTTGGAAAGTATTGTTTTTTTTTTTTATTTACTTTGACTTTCAAGAAAAAATTATTGAAGCAGGAAAAAAGTGATAAATAGAATTTACAGGATTTATTGGAAAAAAAAAAACTTATAACTTTAAACATCAAATTATATCTGGGCTTGTTATTTGCTTTCAAATATCTTATTTTGCAATGTGTCTTGAAATCACATCCCACTGATATTATTACTGAAATCAATTATAAGCACTACATTATTTTAATGTCTGTCTTCCTGAAAGCAGGGAGGTAAACAATACAATATTTTACATTGCTTCAATTTGCACCTATTTAATTGTAAAAATATGTATGATCAAATACACATTGGCATATTACATTTTAATGTTATCTGTGAGTCATTTTGTTAATAAGAATGGCATTAAACAATGTGAGCACTTGAAGAAATAAATAAATTGTGACCAATAAAGAAAAATCAAGCTTTTAAACAGCAAATTGCAACTATCCTTTAGTAAAAGTATACATGTACATGTATAAGACATAAAATACATACAAAATATAAATTATATGTGTATAGCACAGGATTTGGCAGTGGTCCAGGTTTTTGTTTTTAATGAGATCGATGTAAACTGAAAACAAAGATGATCATGATGATACATGTAAAACATAAAATAAACAATAACAGATACCTGGTAAAAATCTTGTGAAAGTAATTTTCATATATTTTTTCCCTTAATAAAAAAAAATATATGTTATATCATATTTTCTTATTATTTTACATAAGGCCATTCCAAGTTTTTTTCTATGTTTAGCGCCTGCGTGCGCCTTGGTTTATGACAACCAATAAGAGAAAAAACAAAACAAAATCAGGAGTCCCGAAATTGACTATTCTGGTCAAAGTCTTCAATTCTGTCAATATCTCTAAGTATTTGTTTACAATATGCCATATTATGTATATTTTAAGCATTTAATACCTGGATTTTGCTAAAGAGTAGATTTTTGTGCAAGAAAAATACGCAGATTAATGAAATGAAATGCTTTGTGTTACGTCATTTTAAAGACTATAAAGTCTGTGTTTTATTTTTTGGCTTGTTTGTTTTTTGTGAATAGGTAGGTAGGTTTTTGAAAGATGGATGGACGCTAAACAGAGAAAAAACTTGGAATGGCCTAATTAAAAAAAAAAAAAGACTTATAGCTGCCTGTACTTTTATCATGGAGGCTTCAAAATCGGTAACCTTAAATTATTTTGTAAAATGTTAAATATATGTCATGTCCTTGGGAAATAAAAATCTATAAAAACACTGACTTTAACATTTCTCTTACTTTGTTTGTGCAGAAAATCCTTTGCCCTATAAAATATGTAACAGTACACTGACTTACTTGAGTTAAAGATCTTTCTATTTTTTTCTCTTCCAACAGTTTGGATGCTTCTGCTTTTGTTTTTCTGCAAGCACCCTGGCCTCTTCTTCATACACCATCTTTTCTTCTTCTTTCATGTTCTTCCACTTGTCTCCAAGGATTATACTGATAGCACTACAAAACATACTAATATGTTACACTAATTTAATACCAATACAAAACATACTAACATGTTACACTGATAACACTAGAAAACATTATAACATGTTACACTGACAGCACTACAAAACATACTCATATGTTACACTGATAGCAGTACAAAACATACTCATATGTTTCACTGATAGCACTTAAAAAGGTACTAATATGTTACACTGATAGCACTACAAAACATACTAATATGTTACACTGATAGCACTACAAAACATACCAATATGTTACACTGATGGCACTATAAAACATACTAACATGTTACACTGATGGCACTACAGAACATACTAATATGTTACACTGATTTAATAGCACTACAAAACATACTAACATGTTACACTGATAGCACTACAAAACATACTAATATGTTACACTGATTTAATAGAACTACAAAACATACTAATATGTTACACTGATAGCATTACAAAACATACTAACATGTTACACTGATGGCACTACAAAACATACTAACATGTTACACTGATAGCACTACAAAACATTCTAACATGTTACACTAATAGCACTACAAAACATTCTGACATGTTACACTAACAGCACAAAACATTCTAACATTTTATACTGTCTGATAGCACTACAAAACATACTAACATGTTACACTGATAGCACTACAAAACACTTTTTTAAGTTTTTATTATATCTTATAGAAATTTTGGGTATAAAAAAACAAGAGGCCCATGGGCCACAGCGCTCACCTGAGTAACTTTGGCCTTGCTGTTTTTCACCTGATTTCTCCCCCCCCCAGTACTTATTGTGGCCCCGCCCTATCCCTAGGGGTCATGATTTGAACAATTGGAATCTACACTACCCCAGGATGCTTCCAATTAAGTTTCAGCTTTTCTGGCCCAGTGGTTCTTGAGAGGAAGATTTTTAAAGATTTTTCCTATATATTTCAATGTAAAACTTGGATTCCCTATTGTGGTCCCGCCCTACCCCTGGGGGTCATGAATTGAACAATTTAGAATCTACACTACCCCAGCATGCTTCCACATAAGTTTCAGCTTTTCTGGCCCAGTGGTTCTTGAGAAGAAGATTTTTAAAGATTTTTCCTATATATTTCAATGTAAAACTTGGATTCCCTATTGTGGCCCCGCCCTACCCCTGGGGGTCATGATTTGAACAATTTAGAATCTACACTACCCCAGCATGCTTCCAATTAAGTTTCAGCTTTTCTGACCCAGTGGTTCTTGAGAAGAAGATTTTTAAAGATTTTTCCTATATATTTCAATGTAAAACTTGGATTCCCTATTGTGGCCCCGCCTTACCCCTGGGGGGTCATGATTTGAACAATTTAGAATCTACACTACCCCAGCATGCTTCCAATTAAGTTTCAGCTTTTCTGACCCAGTGGTTCCTGAGAAGAAGATTTTTAAAGATTTTTCCTATATATTTCAATGTAAAACTTGGATTCCCTATTGTGGCCCCGCCCTATCCCAGGGGGTCATGATTTGAATAATTTAGAATCTACACTACCCCAGCATGCTTCCAAATAAGTTTCAGCTTTTCTGGCCCAGTGGTTCTTGAGAAGAAGATTTTTAAAGATTTTTCCTATATATTTCAATGTAAAACTTGGATTCCCTATTGTGGCCCCGCCCTACCCCTGGGGGTCATGATTTGAACAATTTAGAATCTACACTACCCCAGCATGCTTCCACATAAGTTTCAGCTTTTCTGGCCCAGTGGTTCTTGAGAAGAAGATTTTTTAATGACCCCACCCAATTTTTGTATTTTCTTGATTATCTCCCCTTTGAAGGGGACTTGGCCCATCATTTTTACAATTTAAACTCCTCTTCACCCAAGGTTGCTTTGTACCAAGTTTGGTTAAAATTGGCCCAGTGGTTCTTGAGAAGAAGTCGAAAATGTGAAAAGTTTACAGACGGACGGACAGACAGACAGACGGACGGACGGACGGACGGACAGACGGACGGACGACGGACAATGGGTGATCAGAAGAGCTCACTTGAGCTTTCAGCTCAGGTGAGCTAAAAATAACTCCCTCATCAACTTTATTGCCAATAAAATTATTTTTTAAAAAAGCCTCCTTCCCACATCTGTTTTGGAGAAAATTGGCCTGAGAAGAGAATTAAATTTATGAGGCTAATCAAGATTCTTTATCTGTATAAAGAACATAGTGCAAAGTCCTCTACAAGATTCAGAAATTTCCCTTATAAGTAAGATTCAGGGTCATTAATAATGTATCTGCATTCCCGCCAAATGAGACATAATTATAGGAAAAAAATTCCCCTCAATTCATTCATAAAACAAAGATACATTTAGATTGACATTGTTTTAAGCTTTAGTTGAAAATCACTTTCATTTGCTTGTTTGAAAACCTTGCAAGAAATCATAACTTAATCACAACAAGAAAATTCATTTCTATTAGATTTCACTTATATATTAAACATACTGAATGTTCTCCTGCTGAGGAGTATTTCATATTTCAGCTACCAATTGCTTCTCCCTATGTTCAATACATATGAATCAAGTATAACATACCGATTGTCTTTCCCTGGGTAGTCCTGGGTCAAGTTCAGTCGGTGCCTTTGAGCAAATAGAAGGAATGCATTCATTGGCCTCTTGGGTTTCTTTCCCTCCTCTTCTTTGATTGGCCGCTTTTTGGTCGGTGAACCAGAACCAGAATGGGGACTAGATGTAGAATCCGAGTCCCGTTTTTGCTACATGAAATAAGTTTTAATGAGTTTTGTTCATCTTCTTGATGTTTTTTTCTCTCAGCATCATTTTAAAAATAAGAAGCTGATATTTCAAATGAAAAAAAAATGTTTTACTTTCTGGTGGGGTGAAAATGTAATTTTAAGTTCCTGAATTTATTGAAATGTTGAAATTGTGACAAATATTAAAACTTTGACACTCTTGTTAAATTATAGATCCAGAGATGATCTACTCAAGCAATCAAACATACCTTGGCCATATGGCTCAGAGCAAAAACAGCTGACTGATCTTGTGGGGTTAAATCATACCTGAATAAAAACAAAGTCACCAATAACAACAGAGATTTTTAAGATTACTTCAACTTCAAAGTACAAAGAACAGTCAAACATCATCTCAAACTTGAGAAGCCAAAAAAAAAAAAAAAATTCCAAATATCCAAGAATTTAAGATATATGAATACTAGCTGCAGAACTGTAGCTCTCCAGAAAAAAAAAAATTGACAGACCGGAGAGCTACAGTGCCACCCATAGAAAAAACTGTGTATTTATTGCGCACAAAAAGTTGCTCTTGGTTCTGGATTTATTTCTCCAAATTCTTACCTCAACTGCACAAAGCTAGATTTCAAAAAATTCCTTAGACCTCTATCAGCTACTCTTGTAGTTGACATCTTTATGAAGCATGTTTGGCCGAATTGTCTAGCCACCCCAAGTGGCAGTACATTAACAAGCGAAATTTTGGATGGTTTTAATTTCAGGCCCAGGGGGGCTATTAACAACGGTTATAGGATATGTTTTGATGTGGGAATAGTGCAAAAATGTGTTAGGAACACACGGTCAGTATATTTAGAGATTGCAGTTTAAAATTACGGAGAAATAAATCGAGAAACAGCGCACTTTTTTGTGCGCAATAAATACCCCCTGGTATACATTTTTTTCTGTGGGTGGCACTGTAGCTCTCCGGTTCATCAATTTTTTTTTCAGAGAGCTACAGTTCTGCAGCTATATGAATACATAAAGAATAAAGTGCCCTGCCACAGCATGATAAGCCCGTCAAATATTGTTCAATTGTCATAAACAGTTTAGATTGCAAAAAAATCATGTAAACCTTGATACAAGGATTTCAATGATTTTTCCATTTCTTATAATATTTGTTATACATCTCCTGTGGTGTAGGCATTAATTATAACAAATATTACATTATAGATCTTCAACTGGTTGTGTTAGAGCTTGACAAATGCCCATCTGCAGTCCCCCCCCCCTTTTTTTTTTAAAGATTTGTGAGACATGATGCTCTGAACTAGTTGATATTTTCAAAAAATTAAATAAAAATATCATATTAAACAATATCAATTTAGTCTTAACAACTTAATCTATATCTAATTAATATTAAAAATAAAAGGCTGGCCATCAAATGACATATGCTATAAGCTGACAAGCAGTTCTTCTGTCTAATTCCCAAAGGATACAGATAAGAGCTGCTTGATCAGAGATCCTTTAAAAGAAATGATTGGGACAGCTAGCCTCCCTACACTGAACTCATTAATTAATCTTTAACTGGATGCATGTCCACTCATTACTCCCAAGGGATGAATGGATCTATACATACGATCTGCCGTGTAGTGCAATAAAAATGCATATTTATGTCATTCTGAAATTAAATTTGAAAACAAAGATTTTTTTTTAATTTGTTACAATGATTTATAAAAAGAAAAAAGAACTTGTGTAATCTTGATGCAACATTTTTAACATTTTTGATAAGGTTCCTGCATTACCCTTAGATTTGTAGGGACTATCTACCATAATTAAAACTTTTTTTTTTAAAATACTTGATTTTTTTAAGATTTAATTTCTGACTGGTTTTAAGCTGCAATTCAGTTTTAATTATATTATACAATATCAAATTAGATTATTATACAATATCAAATTAATTAATCATAAAATATCAAATAAGTTTTAACTACTTTTCACCAAATTCATTTTAAAAGTTAGGCTAGCCAACTATTTAATCCAACACAGCTGATTCTTTTTGCCCAGTTCCCAAGAGATATAGATAACACCTGCTTGATCAGAGATGCTCTACCAGTTAGCTCCTCACATTAAACTCATTAATTTCTCTCTAATTTGATGTGCAATTTTCTGTTATCAAATTCTCCTTGACCAGTGCTTGATAATTACACACCTGGGAGAGGTGGAATTTCTCTTGTAATAATTACATTCGTTATAGATTGCTGTAAAGTATATAATGAAAAAAATAAGTATTTTCTTGATTTAACATTTTTTTAATAAGGATATTGCAACACTTGCATTTTTTGGGATTGTGTAATCTAATAGTAAAAAGACAGTTTTTTTTAAATTTCACTTAAATTAAAGGTCACAGTGACCTTGAAATAGGTCGCGACACACCTTCTATCTAAGATGCATAAATTGGCCAAGTTTGATGATTCTAAGTCCAATAGTTTTCTAGTTATGAGCCGGACGGGTTTTTTTCATATTTGGCCATAGCATCTTAATTAAAGGTCAGAGCGACCTACTTTTAGTGCGCGACACACCTTCTACCCAAGAAGTATCAGCTGACAAAGTTTGATAATCTTAAGCCTAATAGTATTAAAGTTATGAGCCGGACACGAGAAAAGCTAACAGACAGACAGAAGGACAGACAGACGGACATGAACACCATAACATAATACGTCCCGTCTAAAGAAAAGTTGGGGGTCTAGATGAAAACTACATACTTTTATATTTTTTTTGTCAGACACTGAACTTTTGACCTCCCCTTTACAGTAATACATTCAAAACAGAAAGAAGACCTTTATTTACTAAACAATAAAAAATCCAGAAATCAAATTTACAAATTATTGCAGAGTGCTAGACACAGATGCATACCGTTTTGAGGTGTGAAACACTTCATCAGACAGACAAGCCTTTGGATGGTCTGGGGGAAGACACAAGTCATTCTCCTCAAGGACATTACTTGGAATCCCGAAATTATCATGAGTCAACAAAGGGTTGCATGAAGACCATCCTACAAAAATTGCCAATATTTTTTTCTAATAAACTGTCAACATGCAATTGGATTTACATGTACAGATACTGTAAATCAACTTTTATTCACGTGCAAGAAATATCCACGAGTTTCATGACCTACTTTAACTCGCGAATATTTTATTTTGTTTTGTATTTGTACATTGTTGTAGAGAATCGTTTCCTCAATTGAGAAAATTAATAGTCGAGGATTGATTTCAAACTGATGAATCGCGAATAATAGTTGGTTTACAGTACATGTTATTTTCAGCAAAATAAAGATTCTGGAGGGGTTTTTTTTTAAAAAAAATAATTAATTTGGAACCAACTCATAGATAAAATGTTTGAACTATGGAAAAACTTCTCATTCTGTATGAACATTCACTTATTAAAAACCTTGCTGACAAAAAGATAAATGTAGAAAAGGAAGTCTGATCCATCAGTGGTTGATCTGTGTACCTTTGTCTTTCACAAAGAATGGATGGTCTTCTGTGCAATCAGCCCAAAGAGAGGGCTGTCCTACAATATCAGGACTGAATAACAGATGTAGTCTTTTAGTGTCAACTTCTTCAGTCATTTTGTTGATGACACAAAGACGTAGCCCATTACAACCATAGCTGATAAAGAAAAAAGCTAGTATATCATTTCAAAACACTACAGCTATTAATTAAACAATCATGTATCAAAGTCATTTATTATTTAAAAGAAATAAGTCTTAACAGTCAGACTCAATGCCTCACAAATACGAAAAGTATACACTGGCCAATCAGATTCAGGTAATGGTTCATATACATTTCAGAGCTTTAAATATCAACAAGCAATAACTTTAGAAAACATTTAAATGAAATTTTGTAAGAAAAATTCAGTCCAGTAAGAACAATTCTTCTACACTTCTTAATTAGTATAAAGAGAGTAATGTGACGTACAAATAACCCTTTAATTATTTACTGGAATCAGCTTTATTCTTTATTGTAAACAGGAAAGAGCTGGTTCAATAAAAACTTTTTAAACCTTTGAAATTGTGATATCAAATGTAAACATGCAGATGCAAATAAAGAGTTAAATGTTCTTTATACTTAATTTGCATATGAAAATATGCAGTATAAAAGCTATGGAGCAATCAAAGTTTTGAACATGCAATTTAAGAACATACATGTATAAAATGGAAAAACAGAACTGAAAATTTAGTAAAAGTTAAAAATCAATTTATTTAAAATCTTAGATCTGTGTCGTATACATTCTGCGTAAACAAAGTATATATACAGCATGAATCTAGGAAGTCTTGACTTTAATTAGATTGAGTTTAAATTGATCACTGATTACATATTCCATTAAGGGTTTGACACTACCATTTTAGCTCACCTGAGCCGAGGGCTCAAGTGAGCTTTTCTGATCAAAGACATCCTCACAATGTCAAGGTTTTGCGATTTCGGAACTCCACACAAACCCTTGACATAAGTCCCTATTTAAAAGTTGGGTTTGTGGTTACACATGATGTAATTGGTAATTATAAACTAACCAGTGAGAATATATTTTTCAAATCCGTGGTTTTCAAATGGTCCAACTTCAGAGCATATCTTTTGTGATTTTTAGGAGGACGATCTTCCAAAAATTTATCCCCCATGTTTCATTTAATGTAACTAGTCACAAATTCTACAATATCGACACTTTTCATTTTATAGACGAGTCATATTTGTTTACAAAACTTACCAACAATAAAAGCTGTTTTCTGATTGGTTCCAGTACTAGACCAGGAACAAATGAAATAGTAGCTTTCTAGCCCAACTTTTAAATAGCAACTTATGTCAAGGGTTTGTGCGGAGTTCCGAAATCACAAAACCTTGACATTGTGGGGATGGATCAAAGAGTGTCTGGAGTCTGTCTGCCGTCTGTAAACTATTTGCATTTTCGACTTCTTCTCAAGAACCACTTGGCCAATTTCAACCAACTTGCCATAAAGCATCCTTTGGTGAAGGGGATTAAAATTTTTTAAGTAAAAGCTTCATAACATACTCTTGATTCAAGTTTGTTCTATCAACCCCTGGGGTAGGGCGGGGTCACAAAAAGGGGTTAAAGTTTTACATAAGGAATATATAGGAAATGTCTTCAAAAATCTTCTTGAGAACAGCGAAGCCACAATTAGTCATATTATAATAGAAGTATCCTCAGGTAGGCCTAGTGTAGATTCAAGTTTGTTCAAAAAATCAAAGTTTACCATAGGAATATACAGGGAATATCGTTAAAAATCTTCTTCTCAAGAACAGCTAAGCCATTATCAGTAATATCAATACAAAATTATCCTCAGGAAGTTTAGATTCAAATTTGTTCAAATGATGACCCCTTGGGGTAGGGTGGGACCAACACAGTGGGTCAAAGTTTTACATAGGAATGTATAGGTGTAATGGTTAAGTGGCATTTAAGTAAAATGCATTGAAGACTTCAAATAGTGGAATGACCTGACAACCCTTGGAATGGACTAGCCAAAACAAAGGGTATATATAAGGCAAAGCTTTGGGAAAGTCAGGCATTCAGAAGCTAGCTGAAGAAGTCGGACGTTGATTTGGCAATGAAGTTGTGTGCAAGAGCAAAATAAAAGCATAAAAGTTATAAACACCAGTGGCAAGTATCCTAGGGAATTGATGTTAAGTTCTGGGTGTAGTAAATCTGAAGAAGATTGAGACACCTGGTTCTTATCTATCAGTGGGAACCTAGCCCTGGGAGAAACATGGTGCAAGTCGTACCTTACCCAGTCCCCATCTCTAGATAAGAGAAAAATTAACTTCTGTGTGATTTACCCTTAGAGAGAGCTGTCTTAATAATCATTCCAATCATTAACTCAGACAGAGTAAAAGGAAAACTTAAATATCCCTTTAAGAACCTGATCATACACATTACATACGCAGGGGTGTTAAGGAGACATTCAGATATTCTTACTTGACTAAATCAGTGATAAATTATGACGTCATAGTAGGCGAAATGACGTCAATTTTAGAACACAAGTTTTCATAATACTGGAATTTAGAAATGTAATTTAACTCCAGAAAATGAATAGAAACATGTTAATATTAACAAAAATAAAATGCTTTTATTTTGTTATGCTGTAACTGTCACTTGGATTAGAATCTCCGACAGATTAAGTCATAAGTGTTCATCAAGTTTTGGGATTTGATCATGTTGTGTAAAGAGATTTTGGCTAAGACGGCATATACAAAGATACGTTAAAGGGGGGTTAGAAGCAAATTCCGTGAATATTATATGTGATTCATATGGATTTAATGTTTATTAAACAGGTATGCAAATTTATTTTCATCGATTATATTTTCTTTTGAAGACAGTCAGCTATTTGCATATCCAAGTTGGCCTTTCCTCTGTCATTCGTGACAACAATGTAAAAGAACAACAATAAGCTAGATACTTCAAAACATAAGATTTGTACAGATCGAGAGCTTGCCTTCTAAAATACTTGGAAAGTGCTGCTAGAATCGAGAGGTAAGCATGGTCTGAAGAAAAATCTCGGGATATATGTATAAAATTCAAAACATCGGGTAAGGTTTCATGCGAATGTGTGGAATAATTATTTTACCAACCAGACAGTGGGATTCAAGCAGCACTTTTTAGGCATAATAAATGTTTTTTAACTATATTAGTTACTCAAAGAAGTTATAATACCCTGGGGTATTGTTGTTCTGTTAGTTTTTTAATTAAGGAATATTTGGCTAATAATAGCAGTCACGTGATGATGTGGTGGTGGTGCACTTCTTTGCCCCAGACACTCTTTTTTCTTTATGCAATAGTTCATAATAGTTTGTGTTTTATCAGCGGCTTTCATTAATTATCACACTTAATTTTCTTTTTAAAGTCTAAATTTCCCGAGAAATGATTTGAATGCTTCCTTGATATACCCGCGTAGGAAATATCTTTAATCTTTTCAAAATAATCTTTAATATCTTCTCAAGAACAACTAAGCCATTATTAATCATATTTATACAGAAGCAACCTTAGGTATTGTAGAATCAAGTTTGTTCAAATTATGACCCCCAGGGGTAAATTGGGGGCACAACAGAGGGTCAAAGTTTTGCATAAGAATATATATAGGAATCATCTTGAAGAAATCTGCTGCTCAAGAATAGCAAAGGCCATGATTAGTCATACATGTATCATTATAGAAGCATCTTCAGGTAGTGTAGATTCAAATTTGTTCAAATTTAGGGTGGGTTGGGTGGGGCCACAATGAGTGATCAGAGTTTTACATAGGAAAGTATAGGGATTTTTTTTTAAAATTCTTCTGTTTAAGAACATCAAAATCATGATTAGTAATATTGATATGGAAGCATCCTGAGGTAGTGTAAATTTAAATTTGCTCCCCTCCCCCTGTTCAGTATTGACCTGATTTCTGTTTCTTCCTAGCCAACTAGCCAATGTGCTCAGGTGAGCAATGTGATCCATGGGCCTCTTGTTAGCCTGGACTGGTGCTTCCTTACTTTTTCTAGTTGGCATTCGATTTTATGAGTCCATCAAAAAAAGGAAACATCAATGTTTTGTAATGATTAATTTGAAAATAAACATTATAGTGTAATTCTTATTACTTTATGAAATAAACAAAGCCTTTAGGTGTAGTATTTCATTCAACAGATTCTTTGAAATCGAACAGGAAATATGATTGTGTTCCCAGTCTCTTTCTTTTTCTCTATACATTACATCCAAAATATCTGACATCTTTCTTTTATGTGTCATACTAAATCATAATTGCTAAAACGTTTAACTTCATATCAATCAGTTGTAAAATTAAGTGCTAAACTGAATTACCTATACCTAATTAACCCAAAGAAGCTAGAAAGCTAAAAATACATGCCATGTTTCAAGTAAAAGTTGTCAAGAATTGGATCTTGATAATTTATTCAAATTGTTTCCCAGAAGTTTTTATTGGTCCGTTTGGACAAATTTAGCCACAGGTTTTATTTGTCCAAACAAAAATGCATTAGTCTGAGACTAACAGACTAATTTAAGCGTCGAACCCTGTTCCATAAATAATTTTCAGCTGAATACCTTTGGTTCAATTTCCTGTCAGATCCTGCTGCCTGCGTTGCTATGGTTTCCTGTTTGGCTAGGTTCTCCACAGTCAGCCATTGTGAGGTTTCTACTTCCTGTCTGTCACTACTGTCCACAAAATGGATTCTTGTGTCTGCAACATATACACTTTAATTAAAGACAAAAGATTTGGTTTGCTATTTTTCACTGCATCAAAAGGTCTGAATATCCAATCAACATAGCAAATTCTATGTACTAAGAACAATATTTTCATTATTTCAGTTGTGAGAGGAAAATATTTTTTTTTTAAAAAATTCTATGTACAAAGAATGTATGCAACAAAGGAACCTAATATATTTATACTGTTACAGTATGTAAAGCAAAAACAGAATATATGGATATGCTGTCACAATACATATAGTTCCTACAATACATTACACAATTAGGGGTATCAACATGATTAAAATGTTATTTACACTTATTTAATATCTTTTGTGATGGGTAAAATATCAAAATGATGTCTCTCTGAGTAAAACTGCAGTACTGATTCTACATGTATGTATCATTACAATGTATGACTATTTTCTGCCTACTTCACCAGTCAATCAGTGTGCAACTGGCAAATCAAAAACATGGTGATATTAGCATTGAATCTTTTACCATTCAGATCTAAAACATTAAAAATATTTGTGCTGTTAAATGTCAAGGCTACAGACAAGTTACCATGGTTACTGGTGAACAACGGCAATCGACACTTACCATGAGTTCATGACTGCATGCACAAAGAGAAGATAACTCTTAGCATTGGATAAAAATACTGCTTTTTCAATCAAGCCTATATCTCATTTGATTACAAGCAGTTTGTAACATTTATATTTCGTAACTTTCATATCAATTATAAACTACTTTTCAACTTTGATATCACAAACACTGATATATATATCTCAATTACACTGGATATATGTCAAAGTGAGTTAACTGGAAGTCCCAACCACTTTTTATTTTAAGTATTTTGAATCATATGATATCTAAGTTTTTTTCTAGGACCTATCTAATAAGAGATAATAAGGTTTGACTGTATAAGTGAAGTTGATGACAGACTATCTTGTTGTGTACATACCTTTAATGAAGCACTGCCACACAGCCTTTGGCCAGCTATGAGACCACGTTTCCTCCAAGTTTGAATTCTGACTGAGACCCCCTGAGAATGGCGAGGAGGACGTGACTTTAGGATCACTGCCATCATCACAATAATTCCTAAAATTCAAACAATGGAACTAAATTTAACCACACCTCTAATTTTTTTAAATAAAAAAGAAATATGGAAACAGTTTATATAAATGTGTTCAATAGCTCTGTTGGCTCATATCTTAAATTATAGAATCCATAGTTCATTAAAAAATGAACTTATTGGTACAATGACTTTGTTGGCAATATTCTGATCCAAAACTGAAATCAAAATTTCCTGACAATTCTAGCCTTCCTAATCACTACTCTGGATCAAATATTCTGAATTTTTAAGGATTCTAAAGCATTCATAGCAAGCATTTAAGAACCACACTGTTTTATGTCTAATATCTATTTGCTTTCAATGTCAAATTGTCAATTCATACAAATTTCAAGCAGTCTAAGGGCTATAACTCCTGTTAGTTCTCAAAACAAAATTGAAAGCAAGATATATAAGGAAAAAAAATTAATCTTTTTATTTTTCTCAGGCATAATTAATATTATTAATATGCACCTTCATTCATAGAGTATTTAGCATTTGACATTTTTGTTCAGTAATGTTTTTAAGCTGTTTTTATTCTGACCTGTGTAGTTGATGTAAATATTTACCCATTGTCATCTCTAGATGTCTGACTTGCCACAGTTGTAGAACTTGCTTTTTCTGGGAATTTAATGTGTCTGACTGCAGGGCTACAAACAAATTAACATCAATTAAAATTGAAACAAACAGAAAATTATGCCCCAACCATGTGTATAATGGTTATGATACATAATTCACATACTTACGCCAATCTGAATATGTTAAAGTAATATCCAACCTAAATTAACTTGTTTGCAATTATCAAATTGTTTGAATTGAAATGAAAACCAGATTTCGGTTTATTCTTTGGGGTTAAATATCACAAACTGCTTGAACTGCAATTAAAATCCTGATTTCAATTCATTTTTGGGGGGCTAAATATCACAAGCTGTTTAATTTGTTGATATTTTAAACATGCCATATCTTCAGCTGATATTTTGGTTTACATGAGAATTTGTAATGCTGTATCCTGATCCATCTTATCAACAGATGATACATGTAGCACGATCTAAAACTTCATCATATTACAAAATTTTACGACCAAACAATGTGCATCTGATAGCCAATGAATTCTAAACACCTGTGACTCGATCTGACACCTGCCTGCTTCATGCCACATGACAAAAATAAATATACAGTTTTATATTTTGAACTTAAAAGTTTTTAAAACTTTAAGCATAGTATTAATTACAAACATAAAAAGTTGATTTTTTTTTTTTATATTTGCCCCCATCAGTCTATGAATTTTAAAAATTAACTCTTTGGTTTCTAAACAAGTGCTTTATCAGTTGAGCTACCTGGTCACAGGTGCAAAACTTGACTGATAGCCACATATATCTTCACTCATCAAATGTATCAACTTATGACTTATCAAATGTAAAAAAATCCATAGACTCTCATTGAAAACTCCAAGCAAAAACTCTGGGACTTACTTTTTTTCCCACACTTTAGGGGGAGCTGATTGCATTAAAGGACTTTGGGGGCTAGTGGCAATCTTAGCAAACTCTATAAGTCTACTGTCAGCCTCATTCTGGTTCATGTTTGAGAAGGACGGTAGAATGGACGTACTGGTATCACCAATCAAATCCAGAGGTTCTGGGACTTTAAAATGACCAAAAAAAGTCTATTATTACCATTTACATATATCCATATGTATATATACTATAATAATGTTACATTTTCCTATTTCTAGACTTTCACACTGAATAAGAAGCATTTAAAATAAATGGTGAGTATAGCCACCTTGTAGTGCATCTTTTAAGCAAAGTTAACATTTCACGTCTAAGGCCACTGCCGCTCTTTACAACAAATGAAAGTGTGCATCCTTAAATTAATATCCAATTTAAACACCTGCACACTGACATGTACATCTTAGTCATAGTCTGTATACCTGATTTGACACGATTCTGGTCAACGTTGACCTCATTTTCTGGTATCTCCATCACATTCTCTTGGCAGCGGCCTGCTCTTTTTTTCAGGTGATACTTCAAGCCATTCGAACTAAAAAATGAATTATGAACTACAGTAGATATTTAAAAATAAGAGACACTTCCTTCTTTTTTCTCCCCTTTACCAGTACTTAACTTGCACTGCAATCGATGAATCATCATCAATGAAGCAATTCAGGATATAAGGTCTGGTAAAACCCAGACTGAATTAAGGAAGTTTCCTTAAATGGGATATATATATTCTAATAGGCAAAAGTGATTGTTAAAGAGCTCAAAGAAAAAATAACGGAGTAATTTTTTTTTCATAGTTTATATCAATGATTTTAATTACCACATACCTGATACTATGTACAATACTATCAGTAGCTAAATCAGGTTTTTTTTCTCAATGATTTGTCAAAAAAAAAAAAAAAAAAAAAAAAAAAAAAATCAAACAAACAAGCCAATAAAATGTGTGGTTTCTCATTCATAATAAGATCATACCATGTATTTAACTTTGGAAAAGGGAGGCTAAGTTTTAAAATACTAAGCATGAGGAAAAGTGTCTCTAATCATTAAATGTTTACAAGGATGATAACCCAAACTTGGAGCATGAATAAAACCTGTGTATAAGTGACTTCCCTTTTGATGCAAGTTATCACATGCTCCCAGGTTCACAAACACACCAAATTTTCCCTGTAACATTTTAAATTCAGTTTCATAGATGAGATTGTTTGTGTATGAATATATATGTATACATGTATCCTTTTACAGAAAAGTAATCTGTTTCAATGTAAATTTATACTCAAAACCATAGGATGTTCTAATGAATTACAGCTGACATGAAAAATGTCTACATCACATAATTTTTCCTGAGTTCTCAAAAGTTTGTGACCATTTCTAAATTATTTCCTTGATGTTTATCAAGGATCTTTGAATTTAGAGTAAATAAATTGATAAATATAACTTAAAAATGTGGTTTTCCTGTACAAAAAATCTTAACTTTACATGTAACCATATTCTGATCGAGCTTCCATGTGAGGTGAATCATATCTTGGATAACTCTCTCAGGTGAAAATTTGGAATTATATCCTTGATGTTTACTTAAGGATCTTTGAATTTAGACTGAATAAATTGAAAATTATACAGTATATAACTTGAAGAATGAAGGTTTCCTATACAAAAAATCTTAACCATTCTGAGCTTCCATCTGATATGGTTTTAATTATCATATCTTGGGCAACTTCTTAGGGAGAAAATTTGGAATGTAGTGAACCCATACTTTTTCTCCTTTCATATTTATAAAAGTTAAATAAACATGAAAACAAAGTTAAAGCAATAAAAAATCTGTATTTAATAAAAGAAACCTTATGTCAATATATATAATTGTAGGTTACTTCTTTCATTAAATGTGAGAGATTTCCCGACCTTTTGAAGGTCCTATGACAGCTGTTACAGACAAAGTCCCTGTGGTCAGTGTGATGAGCCTGTATGTGATACCTGAGCCCAGGGTCACTACTCAGGACTTTGGAACACCCCGGGACAGGGCAACTCTTCTGTTTGGTGGGGGACGGGGTGTTCAGGAATTCTTTTAATCTCTCAGTAACTGCATGTGGCCTCTTGGAATGTGTAGGCTCCTGGAAGCGAAAAAAAAAAAAAATATATGATTTTTCATATTTTATATTTGCACTAAGGTATTACTCATATCACAAACTTACATTTTCATTAAGCTTTAAACTAAATTTAAAAGTAACAATAGGAACTCGAAAAAACAACAGTATTTCAATATAAGACAAATCCCTTGAAAGCCCTATTAATTAAACTGCAAATTCAACTTTATTAATATTAATAATTTCCGGACTGATAAAAATTTACTTGTTATCCTTATGATTTAAAATGATATGTTTACAAATCATATATAAACTCTTAGTGACACAAAATACTGATTTTACTTGTAAAGAAATTTTAGGTCATATTCTGGATTTTTTAATTAATACTGTGAAAATGTTCCTTAACCGGTTCAACTAAATCAGACATGATCCAAACCCTGGTCCCATGAATTCTAGCCTGATTTATAATTAAACTGAACTATATGATGGCCACTTTTTGATTGAATTTGCCTGACCACCACTGTATTAGTATACAGTTAAAGTATATCATTGAGGGAGTTAGCAAGATTCCAGTTCCCCAAGGCCAGGACTATTTCCCGAGGCTAACTCCACAATGATATACTTTTAACTATTTTATTATACCGATACAAACGTAAAATTTTGAGGATTCAGATAGCGTGATTTCAAAGCAGGGTTTAGCTCACTGAACTATTTTACACACGGGGATTAGTCCATTCATGTATCATACCAATGTAAAAGTAAAATCTAGAGGATTACGGATAATCGGGAATTAGCTTTCGAAGCAGGGATTAGCTCACTTGACTAACGCACGGGGATCAGTCCATTCATAATGATTTCTAGGGAAATAGTTACATCTAACAATCTAATGTTATATAGGGAAAAAATCAGTAGAGGTATAATAAGTCACACTAACATGAATAAATTTCACTAAAACTGTGGAATAAATATTAAAGACAAAAGAATGATTTACATTCTCCTAAGCACCTTGCAGTTAGAAAAGCTAATAATAGTATTTAAGTTTGTCCTTGATTTTAATCATTTTTTCAAAATCATGCACAACTTTTAATGAAATTAAAATTCAATTTCAATGAAATTCTGGTTATCCAAGTTCTATTGGCCATATTTACACGTAATGTTTTTTGTTTGTTTGTTTATTTTTGCTTTAATTGTTTTCAATCCTCAGTTCCCTCAAGCACATTACCATTGATTAGATATAATACAGATAGTAACGGTTAATCAAAAATTTAATAATATGTAATTGATATATAAGAACTACAGAATACGGATAAAGACAAGTTCCATTGTTGTAAAATATTTAGATCCGCCACTAATTGGTTTGTTTTTGTCATTTATTTTTTGAAGTGTTGGACGGAATAAAACGTGTGCAACAACTGCAGTAAAAATGTACGCATCAATGATTTTGGTATTATCAACGGCTCGAATGTCGTCACTGTACTTTGAACGGGAATATATTCTCAAGATGTGACTGGATTCAGACCGACAAAAATGAAAAAAATAGAGATAAACGAAAATAAAACTCTGTTATGAATTTTACCTGGAACAAAAATCGATACAACATAGCTTCAGTAGCTACAGGCAAATAATTTCACCGCAATACACATCGTAATCAGGTAGAGGTAAACGGGGCTCATGTTGTAATTTAAATCGAACTTTTACAACTTTTTTACGCGTACGGTGTTTCGTTTAAGCTTTGCAAATACACTATTGTCAGTGTTTACAAGTTAAAAACGATAAAAAAGTCATAATCTGCATAGAATGAGAAAACTGTGAGCAACTTCTGAGCCTTTTTTGCATTTGTAGTATCGAGCAAATTAACGTAGTAAAATTCACAAATACTACTTACGCCAACTGACGCCATTCTCCACGGGCAGGTGAGCGATTACCAAACAAAGCATTTGATTGGTGGATTTCGCGAGCACTTGATTATCCTTTTATTTTGATTGGATGGCGCTATACAAAGCCCAATATGACTTTTTCAAAAATAAATAAATAAACACTAAGGAATAAAGTCACAGGAATAATATACAGTCGGTGCAAAGCGTTGCAGGTAAATGACAAAAGTAAGGTATCATCAGTATACTATAGTTGTGGGACAGCTTAATGAATGATGACACATGTTATGAGGGTTACGCCATCACCGATAATAGATTGCTTTTTTTTTTATCCAGGGGCGGATCATGATTTTTGTTTGAGAAAATATAATTTCAATGGGGTAGGCCTGTAAGGGGCTTAATTTGATTGTTTGTGTATGCAGAGGCATAATTACTTATGTATGTTGATATGAGAATTCATTTTTTTATGTTTATAAATCATATTTTTTTCGCTAGCAATTTCAAACAGAATAGTTAATTTTGCGACAAAGTTTTACTATCAACTTTTAAGTTTTTGGTTTTAGTCGTAAGTTCTTTTGTAAAACGGGCCGCTGGACAAGAAAGGGGTCGTGAATCAAGAGAGTACCCCCATGATTTTCCCCGGATGGATCTTTATCTACTTGTACTTTAAAAAATCGACGTAAGAATTAGTATGCAAAGGAAAATAATAATAATTTAAAAAAAAAACTTGTCAAAACATTCAACTTGTCCAAACGTTTTGAAAAAACCTACATATATTTCGTAGGGGTGGGGTGGGGAGGGGGTTATGCACACTTAATTTAAAAATTTGTAGCACATTATGCCTTTGCAGAGAAGTATGCCTGTCCTTGCTTGATAAGATTTTCTTAAGTTTATTTGACCTACATAGATAGGAAAGTGTCGGTGCTGCTTTATCAGGTAGGTTAAATTAACGTATTCTGTCAATATATGAAATTCCCAATCAGAGTATTGACTTGTGTATTAATCTAAGAAATCATATTTACCTCTACATATGTATTAAAATTTATTCAAATATCTTGTAGTATGCATATAAGACAGACCAAATGTATGAATGCATACACACGCCGGATGTGAACTCAGTTGTAAAAGGCAAACTTGCATATATGTGCATGAAGTTTTCACTATTTACTGTAACACATTTTTTTCTCAAAGTGTGAATATGATATATATATATATATATATATATATATATATATCCAAAAAATGAAAAGAAATATCACAGTGTCCGGTAATTAATATGAAAATTAAAAATAACAAGGCAACAATGTTAGTAAAACGTAAGCGCTTTCATTATACTTCTTCAGACGTTTTACAATTCAACGAATTAGAGTATTGAATTGTAAAACGTCTGAAGAAGTATAATGAAAGCGCTTACGTTTTACTAACATTGTTGCCTTGTTATTTTTAATTTTCATATATATATATATATATATATATATATATATATATATATATATATATATATATATATATATATATATATATATATATATATATATATATATATATATATATATATATATATCATATAAAGGACATGGTGCTGAGATTTTGAAGGTAACACAATACATGTATATATGTACGAAAATGTTTCACAAACCCTCCTCCCTAAAAAGAAATAATAACAATAAAACCCCTCCGTTTTTTTTCTTGTTTCATTCAGTAGAAATTTGTCAAAATTTTATTTCCTGGTGGTGGTAGTAGGGGATTGGGTAGTGTCACATTCTTAAGGCATATAAAATTTATGTTCGTCGCATGACACATCATCGGGTAGGGGGTCCCCGTGCCCTCAGGTTGCCATGAGCATATACAGAATTCACATCTGTTACATGATTCAGAGAGAGAGAGAGAGAGAGAATGTATATACATGTACTTGTATTGACACTCTCTGTTGTAAAAATGTATCAACAAAAGCTTCTTCTTTTACACCAACAAATGTGAACATACCCTTCGGTATTGATGATACATAAAATGTGTGCATTGTACAATGATGGCATGATTATTCACGATATAGTATGGCTTTAATTACCAATGTACCAAATGTACATTCAATACATGTTCTTCCAGAATGTCAGAAATCTACAAAAGCTCTGGATCACTAACCTTTAAGAATGGGAACTTTATCCTGGATGGGAAACCCCTCCAAATATTCAGTGGTACCATGCATTATTTCCGTGTGGTTCCCGAGTATTGGAGAGACCGCTTGAAGAAGATGAAAGCTTGTGGATTGAACACCGTGGAAACGTAAGAGAATAACAAGAGGCCCAAGGGCCTTAACGGTCACCTGAGTACAATACAACAATTTAGAGGATCCATAGAGTATTAAAATGAAATGAAAGGTGAAGCTTTGATGCCCAAAAGCAAGAAAAATAGGGTGATCAGGATCAACAAAATAACTAGTCTAACAGTTCATAAATTAGGTTCTAATCTGTTTCCCATTTATCACTATCACCATATAGTATATTAACAAACTATCAGTGCTTTTGTACTATTTTAATTCCTTGTTGTAATCTCTTACACTGGCCTCTCTTGGTCTTTGATGAACATTTAATAAGACAAGTTATTTTTGTCTCATTTTTATTTATCTATTACTTACAAGTCCACATGATCATTAAAACTATGAAAATACTTTTTGTATTATACAATAAAAATTCTTGCATAATTCTCTTATTCTATAAATTTTTCAAGTACATTATTTACAATGATTAATTATCAAAAGTAAACGGCAAAGGGGAATAACTCCTCTCAGTAGAATGCAAATTGAGCCCTGGCTAGGACCAGAACACTTGACCAAATGGTCCAGATGTTCAAAAATCTGGTAAAAATACCCTTCCTTATTACAACTTTTACACTTTTTGCCTCTGATATGCCCAAGTGCAGAGAAGATTTTTAAAGAAATAATGCATTTTCACTACAGATTCACTATATTATCAATAGAGCCCCCCCCCCCCCTTCACCACCGAGAAACACCAGAGCCTCTCACCCTGGGACCAGAAGTTTCAGGTTTGCTCATCATAGGTATTCACTTTGTTTAACTGCTTAACATTAAGGAGCTGACAGGATTATTTAATAGAATTAACGCATTTTCACTACATTATCAACAGCCCCACCCTTATACCAGCACATCTGACCCAGGGGTCATGCAATTCACTACTCTGGAAGAAGCACTCTTGCTCATCATAACTATATACTTAGCTTCTTTGCTTTTTAACCAGAAGCAGAAAAGAATATTTTCAAAGAAATTTTGATTTTTCACTATATAATCAATAGAGCCCCCCCTCCCCCCTTTTGACCAGAACCCTTGACCCTGGGGCCATGAAATTCACAATTTTAGAAGAGGCATCCTTGCATATCATAACAATGTACTTACTTTGTTTAAATAGTACCCAGGGGCAGAGAAGAAGATTTTCAAAGAAATAATTCACCTTCACTGTAGGAGCTATATAGCCCCACCCTAGTACAAGAACCCCTGTCCCTGGGGCCATGAATTTCACAATTTTGGAAGAGGTGTCCTTGCTTATCATAACAATGTACTTAGTTTGTTTAAATAATACCCAGAAGCAGATAAAAAGATTTTTAAAGCATTAATGCATTTTCACTTTGTAATAAACAGAGCCCCGCCCTAACATCAGAACCCCTGACCCAGGGGCCATGAAATTCACAATTTTGGCAGAGTTACTCTTGTTTATCATAACTATGTATTTAATTTGTTTCAATAATACCCAGGAGTAGAGAAGAAGATTTTCAAAGAAATAATGCACTTTCACTATATCTATATAGCCCCCCACCCCCACCCCCCAGCACCAGAACCCCTTACCCTGGGGCTATGAATTTCACAATTTTGGTAGAGTCACTCTTGCTTATCATAACTATGTATTTAATTTGTTTCATTAATACGAAGGAGTAGAGAAGAAGATTTTTAAAGCATTAATGCATTTTCACTATGTAATAAACAGAGCCCCGCCCTAACATCAGAACCCCTGACCCAGGGGCCATGAAATTCACAATTTTGGTAGAGTTACTCTTGCTTATCATAACTATGTATTTAATTTGTTTAAGTAATACCCAGGAGTAGAGAAGAAGATTTTCAAAGAAATAATGCACTTTCACTATATGATCTATATAGCCCCCCCCCCCCCCCCCCCCAGCACCAGAACCCCTTACCCTGGGGCTATGAATTTCACAATTTTGGTAGAGTCACTCTTGCTTATCATAACTATGTATTTAATTTGTTTCAATAATACCAAGGAGTAGAGAAGAAGATTTTTAAAGAAATAATGCACTTTCACTATATGATCTATATACCCCCCCCCCCCCCCCCAGCACCAGAACCCCTGACCCTGGGGCCATGAATTTCACACTTTTGGTAGAGTCACCCTTGCTGATCATAACTCTGTATCTAATTTGTTTAAATAATACCCAGGAGTAGAGAAGAAGATTTTCAAAGAAATAATGCACTTTCACTATACGATCTATATAGCCCCACCCTAGCACCAGAACCCCTGACCCTGGGGCCATGAATTTCACAATTTTGGTAGAGTTACCCTTGCTTATCATAACTATGTATTTAATTTGTTTCAATAATACCCAGGAGTAGAGAAGAAGATTTTCAAAGAAATAATGCACTTTCACTATACGATCTATATAGCCCCGCCCTAGCACCAGAACCCCTGACCCTGGGGCCATGAATTTCACAATTTTGGTAGAGGGCTCAATGTTTATTACAATCATGTCAACAGTTTGACTGCTTGATGTCCAGGAGTAAAGTAGAAGATTTATAAAGATTGCATTAATTTTGATGGTTTTAGCCCCACCCCTCAGGCCCCAGGGGGACAGGGACCATGAAATTCACAAATTTTGTTTCCCTTCACACATAGATGCCATATGCAAAAATTGGCTGAAATTGGTTCAGCGGTTTCAGAGAAGAAGCTGAAAATGTTCAAATGTTAACACACGACGCACGACGCACGACGACGGACGAAAACAGATAGCAATAGGTCACCTGAGTGACTCAGGTGACCTAATTATGGAAATGTAACATCTTATAGGCTGCAGAAAACCGTATTTACCTTTAAGTTAATTACTGCGAAGAAACAGTACATAACTAAAAAATCATTTTCCATTGTAGTTATGTTCCCTGGAATTTGCACGAGGAATATCCAGGCGAATTTAACTTTTCAGGATTATTGGATGTAAGGTATGTGATACAAAACTCTATATATTATATATTTCAATATACAAAAAAAAAAAAAAAAAAAAAAAAAAATGCACCTGCGTATTAGATCCTCTTATTTTGTCATTACAGGGAGTTTATCCGACAAGCTAGCGAAGAAGGTTTATATGTAATCTTCAGACCGGGACCTTACATCTGTGCGGAGTGGGACTGGGGAGGCATGCCTAGGTACATTTAATGATAAAAAAAACTTCTGCCTGATGTTATTGTCACCGCTATTTTTCAGTGTTGATATTCCTTTTATATCCTCTTGCAACAAAAAGTTGAAACGTACTTGTAAACAGTAGCAAGTATTTTGACCATTAGTTTGAGTCTAACAAGTACATAGTATCAGGGATGGGGATTGCACTTTTTTCCGAACTTGATCTTTTACTATACGGTTCATTTTCTATGAAAATTTTCATTGAAATGCTGGTTGCATTCCCAAACCCATCCATTATTGTTTGCAGTTTAGTCAAAACCTTCTCCCAACATCAATGCATTCAATAGTTTTCTTGTCGAAAAGATCACCCCTTTTCACGAAATAGGATTTTCGAGTTTGGATTTTTTTTTTTTTTTTTTGATTGTCAAAGATTTTTCAGGTAAGCCCTCCCTTTCAAAAACGATGCTACGTCTCTGAATAACCCTTTAAATGAGAAGTGGAAACGCTGATCTGGGAACTAGAAATTCGTTTGTGGAGGACATATGTACCATGGGTACTCTAGTCTCCTAGCTGGCACACCGTTTCTGTTTAAGAATGGGTTACACTTCATTTTGATATTAATTTTATATTATGAATAAAGACCATTATATTGAACTCAAAATAAACCAAATTTTAGCTGGCTCCTGAAGGACCCAAACATGAAAGTCCGAAGTAACTACTCTCCGTACGTTGAAGCCGTGAAGCGTTTTCTGGACGAGCTGCTACCAAGAATAGTTGATCAACAGGTACATTATAATTTAAAACAATTTTCCTGGTTGGGGTGGACAAAGTCAAATCATGAAGTTTAGTATTTACAGGAGAATTCACGAGCATAATAATAAACAAAAAGAAATATCCACAAAGTTTTCGTATAAATCTATATACATGTATCGAATAGTTTAGGCTTTGGTTGCTGTCCCAGTCAAGTTTGCATCTTAATTTCTTCCATGTTTTAAACTGGTAGCCATATACATGTATTGTTCTTTCCAACTTTACAGCACGGTTGTGGTGGACCAATTATCGCTGTCCAGGTTGAAAACGAATTTGGCTCCTACAACACTGAGGTTGATCATCTCCACACCATTAGAGAGGTGAGTAGTGTCCTTTACAAGAGTGTTGATATTTCTTATGCCAAATTTGTACATGGCAATTGTCAAGTACAATTTTTGCATAAGAAATATCAAAATTGTTAATTGTTATGTACAAATATCAAGTTTTTTTTGTAAAGGACAGTAGCCATATTGTACATGTACAAAGGCGATACGTCCTCTACAGGAAACTGCTGGGTATAGATGTACTAAATTTGTTTTTCATATGGTGTTTTTTTGTTTGTATAGATTCTTTTGAAGAATGGTATTAAAGAACTTCTTCTAACCTCTGACAATATATTTGGATTGAAAAGAGCACCATTTTACAAATGTAAGGTCATAATCAGGCTCTCTAATTTTATGTTGTTGCTATTACATTTTCTGTTTAAGTTAACAAATAGATTATTCAAACTTAAAGATAAGAAACTAAAGAACAAATTTTATCCTAACACCCATTCTGTATATAGATGCCTTACCTACTGCTAACTTCCCAACTATGGATGATGGAGCTAAACTATTCAAAATGATTCGAGAATGGAGTCCCGAATTTCCTCTTATGGTCATGGAGTTCTGGCCCGGTTGGTTTGACCACTGGGGACAGCCACACAAAGGACTAGACATTCTAGGTTTAGTTTTTCTCGAGAGTCAATTTCAACGTACATCAATGGCATTTAAACTTACTAAAATGTATATATAGGAAATTTGCAAAATCCATGTAACAGACCGTGTGTGTGTTGTTTTATGGATTATATTTAATATGTTAATTTTCGAATTCAGATTTTATTGTCTTAATTAACATGCACACTGTACTGTTAATAATCCATGTTTTTATAATTTCTAGCGTTTGAAGCCTGTCTTTCCGGGATCCTGGATGCTGGAGGGTCTTTTAACATGTACATGTTCCATGGAGGAACAAACTTTGGTTTCATGGCTGGTGCTAATTATTTTGAAGGATCACACTACAAACCCGATGTTACAAGCTATGGTAATTTTTTTAGTACACAAGTTTATAAACTCAATAAAACAACTAATTACAACTAAAGGTTTTCAATAAAATTGAAAATGGTTTTATATATTATTTTATCCCTTGTGTCTTCTTTACTGAAAAAGAACCATCCATCTTGAATTCAGCGGGACTGGCAAAAGGATACCAAGATATGAAGCTGATACTCAAAATTTCAACATAAAAAATACAAAGTACATATATTCTCTTAATTGTTCAAAATGTCCACCAGCTACATAAGCATGATAAAGTTACTGTTTTTCTTCTGTGAACAGATTATGATGCACCTCTCTCAGAGGCAGGAGACGTCACACCAAAATATATGAGGGCCAGAGAAATAATACTGGAAAAGGGATTGAAGCCACAAGGTATATATTGTAAAAAAATGTTTATTATTATTATTGAACAATACTGAACAAAAGACGTTCAAAATAATATTTTTAATAATATGCAATCTTTCAATTTTTGCTAGACGTCCCCATTTAGGATTTGAAGAGCCGGCCATTAATATTTCTTTTGCATATATCTCGGAAACGAAAAAGAATATTTATGAATAGGTGTTGAACAAAAAGTGTTTAAAATCATGAAAGCTTTAAGATGATATCAAGAAAAAGCGGCTGACCACTCATATTAGGGGCCACAACGGGCTGAGAGTTTATATAAAATTTAGTTTTAATTTAAAGAATTTTGTTTTTGATTTTCATCTACACTGTAAAAATCATGTGAATTAAAAGGGCCACTTATTTTTGCACAGGAATAACATCTTTACCAGAACTTCCTCCAAATTTGCCAAAGAAAGCGTATGGTAACATTTTCAATTTTACAACATGTCAAAAATATAAAATTACTAACGAATTATAAAGTACTGAATTAAAAATGTTTACAAAGATTATTTTTAATGAGAGATCTTTTATCTAATACAGGTGAAATTGCAGTGTCTCAGTTTTTAGATTTAAAATCTATTTCGTCTCTAATAGTAAGTACAAAATAAGTATTTAACTCAAATGTTTTCTTTTTTTAAATTTCTTGCAAAATTTTTTTTTTGGTATGAAAAATGCTATTGCTTAAAAGAAGAAATAAATATTTTCAGCCTAAAAAATACGCACAATTCTACAGCTTGTTTTGATAGATGCATGTTTGTTTACCTTTGTATGTCATGTCTCTTTGCCAACTGTATTTTGTCAATAACAGATGAATAAAAAGCGAATGTGCAATTATTTTTTTTGAATTTGTATGAATAAAATATAAATACATTAAATGCTGGTGTTTCAAATTTTTAAATATTTTATAAAGACCCGAAATTAGAACGTAATGTGATAAATTTATTGCGGATCAGCAGTATACATTGACATAAGTAAAACATTCATTTATTTTTATTTTTTTCTTACACCAGTATTATATGTATTATATTTTTTTGAATTCTGACTCTTAAAAAATTATATTTTTACCAATGCTTTATAGACACCAATAAAGGCTTTAGAACCGGTTTTAATGGAAAACCTTGACTACCACCAAGGATACGGCCAGTGTTTTGGATACATATTGTATCGAGCTAAAATTACTGCAGGAGAAGAATTATTATTCAGTGAAATACCAAAGGACAGGACCCAAGTAGATTTTTTTTATGTAGATTAAAGAAGTCTCTAATTTATAAAGTGTGCGTGAGGTAGATTATTTGTTTTGCTGAGTGGGGATTTTTCAATATAGAAAATTTGATTTCAGGTGATAGTTAATGGAGAAGAGAAAAGCTTACTGGATTGGATGAGCAAAGATGGAAAAGTAGAAATTACCAATATTTTGGTAATTGTTGTTTGACAGCATCCATTAAAATTGAAAGAAAATTATTAATAGCCTTAAAGTTATCAATTAATTGAAATCAAATATGAAAAAGGAGAAAATAGAAGAAAAAAAATAGCTTACATAATTTCCCTATAGATATTAATGTAGTAACATTCGTTTTTTGAAATCTAAAAATTTCTTTGCCCTCAGTTTTATTTACTAATATGACATTATCTAATTTATAAAATGACTACATAACTTCAGGACAACAGTACGTTAGACATTATGGTTGAAAATCACGGAAGAGTAAACTATGTTGAATATGGTTCTAACAGATTCAATGAGGAGAGAAAAGGTGATTAAAGATATGTTAACCAAGCAGCATTCGTAAAACAATTGAATCTTTTTAATATTCCTTGTTGTGAAGACATTATGTGTAAAAGGTACATGTAATATTGTACATATTGTAACCTTAAAAATGTTTAAGCTAGAACACCTTGTGGATCTTTTTAACTTGACGATATATATTGTGCAGGGATTAATGGGTCCGTAAAGTTGGACGGAAAGGAGATAAAACAGTGGGACATATTTCCATTGGATTTCAAAACCAAACTATTGGACAGGTAAGACAGCAGCTTAAACTGATTTTGTTAAAAATAATCTGATATATTACTAGATGAAATAATGCGGAACACAAATACTATTTTCCTAAGTATCCGACATTGCGCGGAATGGAAACCAACCGCACTGACACCTAAAGGGCCAATGGTTCTGAGAACATCTTTACAGATAGATGACACTCCGTGTGATACATTTCTTGATATGAAAGTAAGTGCTAAGATCATACCTGCATGATTGTCTTACATATATACATTTAATTTATGTATTTATACACATATTTGAAAACATAACTTGATCAGCCGCCCATTCCGGACTTTTGGAAGTCTGTGTCTTTGTCTTCTGAAATGACAGTAGGGAAAGACTTCTTGCTGTTTTTCTTAGCTAATATTGTCAACTATTTTTGCGTAAACAGGGTTGGAATAAAGGCATAGTGTTTCTAAATGGCTTTAACCTTGGAAGATACTGGAAAATTGGACCTACAAGAACTCTGTATGTCCCTGCTCCGTTGTTAAAACGAGGAGAAAATGAGGTGCTGGATGTTACTTAGTAATTCAGTTTTCATTGTTTATTTAAATATAGTAAGTTGTAATATATTGCACTATCAGATTGATCTTTGCCTCATCAATGTTCACAGGAATAGCAAATACCAATGAATTAAGCTATAGCATAGCAATGAATGAAAATTAATAAGAAATAGCTAGAAGATAATGTATCCTAGGTGATATAGTTTAAAGATTCAAAATAGTCTCATGACAGTCACGAATTGCGCTGAAAATATTAAGTTTAATAAAAATATGCAAGATGTACTAGGTCGTCTTAAAACTTCTTCAGGGCAGACTCTAATGTCCATGGGAATAATATTATGGATGCTTGTGAAAAAACAGATATTATTACTGATAAGTAAAAAAGAAAATGTTAAATGATCTTGAAAATTTTAACTAGGGATGTCAACGAATATTCGAACATTCGAATATTCATTCGATGGGTTGATATTCGAATATAGATTTAAGATTCGAATATTCGGTGATACATATTTTATAAAAAGAAGTACTGTGATTAATAAATTTTGATTAAATGAAAACCTAAAACTAAAAGGCG